TATGCATTTGGCCGGTGTTGACATAACAAGACTATTTTGTACTTAATTTTCACGGCATAAACGACAGAGATTAACTGAAGGACTATGGCTGGTCAAAATTTGAAACTCGAAAAACTACAGATAGTCAATTTGGAAGTTAAAGACTAAATGTGACGAAATTACCAAACTCGGAGGACCTCAGATGACATTAACACTTTCTTTTAAAGTGGGATTAATCATTTCCAAGGCTTCCATTGACATTAGTTATTCCTAACCCATTAAAAATATCTATTTTTTATCAATAAAAAAAAAAAGGAAAATACTACGGCTATGTTTGGCAAACCTAGTTGAAAGCTTAAAAGGAGTTGAAAGTTGAAAAGTTATAAGCTAGGAGCTGAAAATTGAAGAGTTGTTAAACTAGCTGTTATGTTTGAAAGTGTTTGGTAAAATTAGCTTTTTCATAAGCTGATAAATGTAAAAACACAAAAAATGACGTCTTCATAAAATTTAAATTAGTTTGTTTACATATTAAAATTTAACATTTTGTCTTCAAAAAAAATTAACATTTTGAAATAAAATTATTAGCATAATCATGATCTAGCATCCCATAATAAAGTAGCAATATTGTTGCAAATCTCCATCATATAATAATAATAATAATAATAATAATAATAGTAATAATAGTAATAATAATAGTAATAATAATAATAATAATAATAATAATAATAATAATAATAATAATAATAATAATAATAATAATAACAACAATAACAATAATAATAACAATAATAATAACAATAATAATAATAATTGCGGTGAAAGTTGCGGATAAAGGAAAAGAGAAAAAAAAAATTAATTGGGAAGGGTAAATGATGTCATTTTTTTTAAATAATAACAGAGAGATGGAAAAAGTTAGGAAGCTACTATCTTATTTTGAAACGGAGTTTTTTGCACTTTTGGTCCCATGACTATAGTGACACTATCAGAATTGATCCATGACTTTCAAACCTTGCAATTTTAGTCCACGACTATTATTTTTTTGGCAAAAATAGTCCTTCCGGCCACTTTCCCATCAAAATTTCACCGGAGTAAAAAAAATTTCATTTTTAAGAGGGCTAAATTTGACATGTTTAAGAAGGCTTGTATTACTGATTGTTTGCTGCCATATTTTGCAATAAAGAATTTTTTTGATCTAGAAAGAATTGTTAAGGGAAATGTCAAATTTAGTCCTCTTAAAAAAGAAGAAATTTTACTCTGGTGGAATTTTGATGGAAAAGTGACCGGAAGGACCATTTTTGCCAAAAGAACAATAATCGTGGACTAAAATTGCAAGGTTTGAAAGTCATGGATCAATTCTGATAGAGCCACTATAGTCGTGGGACCAAAAGTGCAAAAAACTCTTTTGAAACGTCACATAAAGTAGCGTTCCAAAATAAGCTCTTATTTTAAACTACGAGCTTATTTTGGGAACATTACCAAACAGAGCTTATAGCTCATTAGTAGCTTAAAATAAGCTCTGCCAAACAGACTCTACATGTACTTCCACTTTTTACTCCCAACTTCTACCCTCTCTCGCAAATTCTTGATGTAGACATTTTTCCTGTGGGACCCACATGATGAATATATCCTATCATTGTTTGCTATGCCAGGGAGTAAAATTGAGTGAGTAGAATATGGAAGTACATATAGTAAAACTCATAAAAAAATATTCCTTATTAGATGATATTCATTTTTCAACCCCTTCTGCCTAAAAGATTGAATCCCCAACCCCAAGGTCCCATACCAAATGGAAGAATATAATTCAAGGTATTCACATAAGTTCAATAGTTCACCCATTATTTAATTTTCCTCTATGTGTATATCAAAAGTGGATAAAGAAATTTAAAATCACTCATTAACCAACTACATCCACCACAACCTATATATTATTATTGTGTATAAAAACAGTACAACGTGATTCAAGTGAAAAGAGTTTGATTCTGTTTAAATAAAATTTTAAGTTTAATATAATAAATATGATTGAAACTCAAATTAAAAATACACTATAATCTTTACTATAAAAAAGCAACGGGAAAAAATAGCCAATCTTTATGAGTTTAATAAATTTTTTGTATTGGGCTGCAACAATGAGTTAGCTTTGGGCCATAAATAAAAAAATGTAACTATGTATTGGCCCATCATTTGTTATATTAAAAATTCTATTTTTTATTATAAAAAATGTTAATTGATTTATATTTTTATTTTTGTAATGTCCAAAAATAAGTTTATATATATATATATATATATATATATATATATATATATATATATATATATATATATATATATATATATTTATTTATTTATGAAAAGATTGTTGGGTTTATACAACACATACGATACAAGCTAAAAAGTACATACAAAGTTATAGATTAATTAAATAATAAAATTAGATGAAACCTTTAAAATTAGATAATATTACGCGTATAAAGAGATATTGATTTGTATTTAATGTTAATTATAATTGAATCACACCTCAATTATAATTAGACTCCATGCACATATTTCAAAAATGAGAAATCTCTATATAAAATCACCATAGTTCTTACGTAGACAAACTTTTTTAAATGAATAAGTTTTACATTTTATAGTTAAATTTTTAAATAATTTAAATATTTCAGTGTATAGTTATATTTATATATATTTTAATAAAATTATATCTACTTAGTATTACCATGGACTTGTGGTTCAATGGCACCAAGTTGCTCCCTCATAGGGAGTATTCAAGGGCGGACCTAGTGTGGGGGCAGTGGGGGTAGCTGCCTCCACTTTTCCCACCCCACCCCTTTATATATATGTATGTATATGTATACATATATAGCATAAAATAGGCTAAAGTGTCATTTCACACCATGAACCAATAGCGATTGTTCATGCCGCACCCTAATCTTTTATAAGTGCTGATTTGATCCACAAACTAATTATTTTTTTCCATCTAGAACTTTTTACAGGTTACCAATAAGTTGCAGGTCATAATTTGCTGACATGGATTTTTTTCATTTTATTTCCATCAACACAGTCAACTGCTTCTCCCATTCCCAGAAATTCTGCGTCTTCGCCGGCAGCTCCGACGATAATGCAGCAACTCCTATGCATGCGGCCTATGAATTTTCTTCCTACACACACAGGCACGGGTGAAGTTGACCTCTTCACTTTCCCGGCCCGCGATGGATCTCTCTCCTCCACCCCCACATTTTTCTTCCCAGCAGATATTGACCTCTGTTTCATGGATCCAGGATACAAAACCTCTGAGGAGCCTTCTCCAATGAAACCTTATTCGTAACTTCCTCCAAATCCACTTTCTCCTTTGCTGCAAACAATTTCCTAGCCCCAACTTTCTCCTCACTCCCCCAGCAGGAGTCGACCATGCAAAACCTCTGGTGCATTCTTAATTTTATAGTGCCTAATATTTGGTTTTGTTTATTCCAAAACTCACTATTTCAATGACATTATTTATTTATTATTACTATTTTTTTTTTTGTGTTTTGGTTTCTGCTTTCATCATTTCATGATCATATCACCGACATCCACCTTCTCCAAGAACCCACATCCATAGGATTTCACCGATCATTATGTGATGATTTTTTGCATCATTATATTATCTCTGTGCATAAAGTGGCGGTAACCTCCTGTAAAGTTGCGGTAAGAGCGAGTGATGGTGAGAAGGTTGTTGCCGACTCGGACGAGTTGGCTGGTTTACTCAGCAAAGCCATGAAAGAGAAAGGAGCGGAGGTGAGGGATTATGCACTGCGGCATAGAACGGCGGCGATGGATGCTATCAAGGACGGTGGAGATTCCTTCAACAACCTGGACAACTTCGTGAAACATTTGTACGAAGAGGCTCGGAAATCCCTAAAGCATCTTCGAACTCTCCGATCTCCCCGCTTCCTCCCTGCTAAACCTCCTCACCGCCTCCCCTGTCTCCCCTTCTTCGGCCACCACCACCTCCACCCCCTATTTCTCTTTCTCTCTGTTCTTCTCCAGCTGATCTGTTTTCTCTATATCACTCTCTCGACTATAGGAGCCTCGGCGAAGGCGTGCAGCGGAGGCATTTGTTCTCCACTCTCGCGGGCAGCCATGGCTTGAACGAGGGCAGCAGTGGAGCGATGGCGGCGATCGGAACCGACGATCCTTTCCGACGAAGCTTCCCGGTCATCTCCGTCCTTTTCTTCATCGTTGGCTTAAGAAAACAAGTCAAGACTTCTTTTTCCTCATCGCCGGAGAAACCCTGAGCATTTTTTGTTTTGTTAAAAAAAAAAATTCTCTCTCATATATTTTAATTTTTAATTAAAATTAATAACGCCACATCAGTAAATACCGTCGCCATGTCATTAGCCAAACTTGGAGACCTGCAAAAAAGGCTGGGCGACAAAAACTAATTGGTTTGTGGATCAAATCAGCACTTATGAAAGTTCAGAGTGCGGCATGAACAATCGCTATTGGTTTAGGGTGCGGAATGACACTTTAGCCCATAAAATATTATATAAAACCTATATTTATGTTGAAAGTAACAATAGTTTGAGTAGCTTAGTTGGTTGAATTTCAAATTTTATGTTATAAAATGTTTATGTCATGGGTTCAAATCTCATTAGTAACACTTTAATTATCTTCTCTCTTTCATTTCTTCACAAGTTGAATTATATATTTTTAGTCTAGTTTTTATAAATCATTTAATTAATGTTTTTTTTTTTTTGAAAATCATTTAATTAATGTAGTATACAAGTTTATAATATATTTTATTGTATTCGAATTAATTTAGAAAAATCGATCTAACTAAAAGAATTTAAAATTAAAGTATTTATGAATATATTGTATTTTAATCTTATTATGGTTGTTTGATATTTTGTCATTGACATTTCTAACGTCATTTAATATTCGCCCCTATTCAGATTATTTTTTGGATCCGCCACTAGGAGTATTGCCAAGGATCTGTGTTTCATTTGATTGAGAAAGTAAAATACTAGTATATTAAATAACACGAGTTTAAATCAAATTTATTAGATATAAAAAAGAGTGAAGGGAGACTTACACTCTCAAACTTATTAAAGGCAAATTAAAGATGGTACACAAACTAAGCACACCCAATATAGATAGTAATAAAGGACAATAATTCATTAAAACCCAATCAAGTTGATTAGGCACAAACACTTGGGTTTGCAAGCAAGTATTGTTCGACCACCTTGAAAAGCTCCATGGCCTTGTCCACCCCTTCCTTAATTTCCTCTTCTTTGAGAACATAGTCACCCTTGGTGTGATACTTGCTTGTGTTCTTGCAAACGCAGCCGCCATTGCCGCTCGCTTCAATCTTGGCCTCATAATCTACGGATTCCAGCTTGTCTCCCATCACATCTCCCTCCACCAACGAGTACTTGCAGATCAAGTTATCCACGTCCACCACTTCAATCTTGTGTTTCACGTACTTTAAGCTATCTCCTGTATGTACGTTGTTCCAAAATCGACTGTATATTTAGTATTGCACAACAAACTGGGATCGAATGCACAACAAACTGGGATCGAATGCACAACAAACTGAGTACAAAAAATTAAATTAATTACATAAAATTAAATCACAGCCATTGGCTTATGTAAATAAAAGGATCAGATAAACCCTCACATCATAGGTCCTCATTTGACCCTTAATATATATATATATATATATATATATATATATATATATATATATATATATATATATATAGCGAAGTTCCAGTGCGGTCAGGTCTTAACGTGCGGTAGATGTAGCCGCACCATTAGGTATGCAAACACACACCAATAGTGTTAGGACGGCACAACGAAAAAATACACCAATATATAAAAAATGCACTATTAGGTACGCATTATTACAAAACGAACCATTAAGTAGGCATAAACGCACCATACACTGTTGGGAAACGCAGTTTAGGTGTGGGGAAGTATGGTGCAATTTTTTGGGTGTGTGGTGCGTTTGATATAATGCTCAAATTCTTTACTAACCTTCGAGGTAGTTCATCTTCTTGATGGTTCCAGCACCACTACCCTCACCATGAACAATTTCGATGCTCTTTATGATCTGTGGCATCACCTTTGGCAAGAGGTTGTCTGAGTCCACATACAGAGCCTTGAACATCCTAGGAGCTGCAACTGAAGTTGCCACTTCATGGGTATAGGTAGCCACTCCCATAGTGTTTTTTGCTTAGTTTAATAAAACTAAATGTTTGAAGAGATTAAGGTTTGGTAGGATGTTTAGTATTGAGCTGTGGGATGATTATGGAAGCTGTGACTGAGCTCTATTTATAGGCATGGTGCGATGTTGTTGGGTGATACTGTGATAGTAATTTCAACAGTCAAGGCCGGCACTCCATTGTAGACTTTCATGGCATTATAATAATTATATTCTAGATGTTGTTTTAAAGGAATACACTTGGACTCTTACAATTTATGGATATAGATCGTGATGCCACGCAATTCTTTATGTTAATTGGAATTTGAAAAAAATATTTAGGTGATTTCACTTAATTAATTCTAAGCTCACAGGATCAGACTCCACCCCTAGAGTTACTATAGTATAAATAAAAGAGTTTATTCTAGCTGCTATTCTTGTCCTTCAACTATAAGTCTATAATGATGCTTCTTTAATTTTTATTTTGAGTGACGAGGGAAATCCGCAACCGCTATTTCAGGATATGCATTGTGTAAACTCTACTCATATGTAACTGCAAATCTTATGATAATAGAGGTAAATTGCACTACGACACTATGAAATGATATTATATTTCTTCTCCCAGACATTATATTTCTATCTATATTATTTGATGTTTTACTTCAAATTCAAAATATTCTCATATGGACTTGCTAGAGTAAAATTTTCATGTGCAAAATGAGTTATTTTAGACATTTTAGATTAGAAGTGAAACATTTGAACAACTTGAGTGTCATAAATGAAAATATCACTATAATCAATAAGATCAAGATTAAAAGTTTTTTTTTTTAAAGTTCATTTAATTACTTAGTGGCGTGATCTAAAATGCCCTTACATACCAATATACCATAGAATGAATTAAAATGAAGTTTGATAAATTAAATCAGCTAAACTGTTTTTTTTTTTTTTTTATAAAGAAAATAGCTAATTAAACTGGTTTAATTTGCTAATTTTTTGTTAAAACGATGTTTACCAAGCAAATCCTTTTATATCAGCAATTTTTTGTTTCTAAACATAACATCATTAGTGTTTATACAAATATTTTTTTTGTTACATGAATATGTTTCAAATTGCAACTGAAATGTTAAATATTGATGATGATACATTCTTTGAAATTTTTTTGTGTAATTAATAAGTTGAAAAGCGAATCTAAAACTATTTTAAAAATGAAACTAAAAATATACCGGAGTATATTTCTACAAATACTTTAATAAGGCACTGTCTTGACAAAATTTTAGTTTTTGAAATAAAAGTGAAACATTTTTTAAGGAAAAAAAAAAAAGAATAAACTTTTAAATGAATTGAATATAATGGCAACAAATACAAGTTTGAGTGGGAAAAGTAATAATATTTTCACTCCTTTGTTGACATTTTCTTTCTTGATGTCCCAAGTTCTTAAATTGTCTAGTCAAAACGTCATAGTTATCTGGTTGCAACTACCAATTTTCATTTAAACGTCATACTAAAAGAATAAAGATTGTATGACTAAGTAATGGCCGGCATCAAAAGTCTAAAAGACCACATCGGATTTGCGGAAATTTTGCTTATTTTTCGACATTAAATCCGGAGTTCTGTCCACACCATTAGATTAGACTTTAGAGTAAGATCAGAGCAACCTTAATAGTAGGAGATTTTTTTAAATTTTTACATGAATTAATTTCACCAAAGGTCCTTTGTCTTTTGTGGTAATTCTAAATTTAGTTTCAGACTATTGTTTTTGTCATTTAACATTCCAGACTATTGTTTTTTGGACAATTTTAGTCATTTTCATCCATTTGCTATTTTTAGTAAGAGCAATATTGTCTTTTTATATTTTCTTTTCCGGTTTCAACCGGTTCAATCGGTTTAGAACTTTAGGTAACCTCTGATTTTTAGTAACCATATTTTCAACTAGTTTTTAGTAAAGTCCTAAACCAATTAAACCGGTTGAAACAAAAAAAAAAATAACAAAAGAAAAATATAAAGAGACAAAAATGCCCTTACTAAAAATAGGAAAAGTCATGAAAAGGACTAAAAGCGTCCAAAAAATAATAGTCTGTGGTGCTAAATGACAAAAACGATAGTCTAGGACTAAATTTGAAATTATAATCAAAGCCAATAGACATCTGGTGGAATTAACTGTTTTTTTTTTTTTTACATGTTCAAGTAGGAGAGAGAGAAGTAAGATGGAAGAGAAAATAAAAGAAAAATAAAAGAAATCTGACAAAAAAAAAATGAACAGTAATGCACCAAGCTTGTGCGTGTACTGCACGCGCCTAACTGGGCCGGATGTATAGTAGCCCAAACGCATAGCTCAGACAGCATGCCTTCTCCATTTTTCTTAGTATTGGGACCCATAAAAAATTCAACTTGACAGAGAAAAAACCATCAAAAAATCATCCCCACATTAGTTAAAAACTCATTTGGTGATTTTTGTTCTGTAAAAAACCATGAAAGAACCCTTTATTGGGGTTGCTCTTAGAGTAACCACAATAAAGTTTGGGAATAAAGTACAAATAAACCACTAAACTATTTGGGAAACAGCAATTAAGCCACCGAATTCAAATAACCTCCAAATAAGCCATTGAACCTGAAAAAACAGAGCAATTAACATTTTTAACGGGTTAACTTCCAGATTTTGCTGACGGGATTGCCACATATTTATTTTATTTATTTATTTATTTATTTATTTATTATTATTATTATTATTATTATTATTATTATTATTATTATTATTATTATTATTATTATTATTATTATTTTTTTTTTTTTATTATTATTTGTAAGCAAATTCTCAAATTAGACATCCAAGCCATAAATTCTTTACTCTCTAATCGCAACTTCTTCCTCTCTTTCACGTAGGTACTCCTATCTCTCCGTCGAATATTTCTTTCATTTGCACTCTACTAGTCGTATTTGTATATCTAATCATCAATTTGTGTCCATCGAGCAAACTTCCAGTAGCCTCAATTTACCTTGCTGCAACTAATCATAAATTTGTGTCCAGGAAAAATAAAAACTTGATTCAACCTCAAAACAATATGAAAACCTTAAACTCAATATAATCTTTTTTCTTATAGCAAGTTTATAAACATTATATGCTACAACATTAAAAATAGCACTAAATCTTCATACTAGATTTGCTGTGAAAGCTATGTTTACTGAACCTGGAAATCTTGCACCAAATTGGTTCAATTGAGTTCTACTATTCAACCACTACAAGATAGCAATTTTACAACCACTACAGTCGCATTACACTGCCTTCGTACTATGCATTCCTCACCGCTCGCACAACTTCAACGACTCAATGGTAGCACTTGTCTGGAATGCGATAGAGATACAAATACGACTAGAGAAAGAATAATCTAAATTTATTATTCTGCTAAATTTATTATTCTGCTAATTATATTTACCGTGGGAGAGTATATTTGATTAAAATCAATTAAGGGTCTCTGCGTGAACCCATAGGCTACAGACTCAGTTCATATCTTATCACCTCTTTATTCTTATTTCTCTTTCATGCACACACCCATTTGTAACCTTCAGGGTTAACGCTAAACGGTGTAATGTTATAAAGAGAATTTATTCATTTTAGCGAGTCGAGCTATGCCTTTTTTTTTTTCTGAAACAAAACGAAAGGACTTTCATTAAATACTCAATAAATCGGCAATACAATCAGGGGGATTACCATCCCACACACCTGAGCCAGTCAAAGAACCGGTCGCCCTAGCTAACACTTGAGCTACACGATTCGCTGATCTCTTAACATGGGAAACACAAACATTCCCAATGTCATTAGCAATTTAACGACATTGCTTTACAATTAAACCTACGTATGAGTGATCAAAGTTGCAAGAATTGAAAGCATTACAGAAATTTAAATAGTCAGATTCAAGCACAATGTTGCTATGATGTTGGTCTTTAAGCCAAGTAAGAGCCTCCTTGGCTGCCAATGCCTCCGCCACAAAAGGATCCCCAACACCCCCTAAACGCCCGCTCTTGGCTGTAAGATAACGACCGACATGGTCACGGACAACGGCTCCAAAACCAGCTCCGTCCCCAAACATAGCGGCATCAATATTACACTTGACGGTATTGGAAGGTGGTGGTGTCCACTGAACAAGCACTGCCGAGCAGCAGGTGTTTCGCAATGGTGTCGTGTAGACCTCCTTCCATGTAGCCTGCAGACTCAGCACCTGTTGTTGAGCAGCCGTTACATGTGGCGTTTTCGCATTCCACACAGCTTCATTACAAGTCTGCCACACCACCCAGAAGATAGCTGCCATCCTTACCGCCAACTCTGCCGTATTGGCGCTTAGCATGGATTCCATGAAGGCGAGCAATCGCCTCCCCTGTAGCACATCCGCAACGTCCCAAATACACGATGCGAAGGCGCAAGCACAGAAGAGGTGTTCTACTGTTTCAGAGTCGACCCCACATAGAGGGCATCCTCCTCCGATCCACACTCTTTTCCTTCACAAGTTATCTCGTACTGGCAAAATGTCCCGAGCGCACCTCCATAGCAAGTTCTTCACTTTGGGTGGATTGGCAGTGCCCAAAGTGACTTCCGTGCCCGGAAGTCCTCGTTCAACACAGGTTGCCCCTCCGGACTAGTTAACAACCGATAGCCATGCTTGACGGTATAGCAGCCCCGGATGTCACCAGTCCACCGCCAGCAGTCTTGCAGTTGAGTGTTCACCGGTGTGGCCAGAATAAACGTCAGCAGGCAAAAAAATGTCACGTATAACATCCTCATCCCATACCCCGCGGTCATTGAGCAAACCACTTACCTTAGCCTCGCATAACTGTGGAACGCATGGGGTAAGTAAAGGCTTATTCGTGGAGTCCGCAACCCAGTTCCACTCCCATACCCTGGTGTCTGAACCGTCACCAATCCGTCGAGCAACCCCCATCTGGAGAACCCTCTTCTCGGCCAGGATGCTACGCCAAACAAAGCTTGGATTCGCACCTAGTTGGGCCTCCATAAAATCTGTAAAGGGAAAGTAGCGAGCCTTAAGAAGTCGGCACACTAGGGAGTCAGGGTTAATCATCAAACGCCATCCCTGTTTAGCTAGCAAAGCCAAGTTAAAATCGTGTAGC